TAAAACATATGCTGGTTAATTTAGTGGTTCATTACGCTGTCGCGACCCCAGATTAATAAAGGGACGAAGCCAAAAAGAAAAAGAATGATATACTAATACAAAGATATAAATCTGACGTTTTGTTTTTGAATGAAATTCTCTTTCATTTTATTTGATTTTTGTCTTGTTTTCTGTTATGATTTGGATGTCATAATTGCAAATTTGTGTTATGGTTTTATTTTTAAATATTCAGCATGTGCAATAATATATATATATATATATATATATATATATATATATATATATATATATATATATATATATATATATATATATATATATATAAAGATATAAAAAATATACATATAAAAAAACAAAAAACAAATGTGTGTCACTAATAAAGTTTGTGGAATAAAATTATACATAAAATGTATCCAGCAATAACAGTGATCTCTCAGAATTTTGTATATACTTTAAAAACTAAACTCCTTTTTTGTAATTATGGATGTTTTTTATTCAATTTATTTAAATTTTACTTAAATGTTATATTATTATTATTATTCTGTCTTTCTGTTGTTATTTGAATGTCTTCACTGCATGATTTTGTTATATTTTTGATTGTTAAACGTTCATCATATACAATGAACAAAACAAGGGAAGAGAGGCTTGAATGTGTTTTTAGTTAAATTGTTGAATATATGATAGATGTATATTGAATTGCTACATATAGACATACATATATATTTTCAAAAGGAGACAGCATTTGTTTGGTTTTGAATGGCCTTTTTCCTACCATTTACAGGCCCATAGACAGCCTGGTGAAAGGTGTGGTTCTTTTTTTCTCAAAAAGTGGACCTTTTTTCAGCTATACCCCTAATTTTCTATTTAATCTTGAGAATTAAATATTTTTAGTGGCATTTTAAGCACTATGATAATAATAATAATAATAATAATTATGATAATAATAATAATAATAATATTCCTGAATAACAACAATAGCCAAAATAGTACTCAAGTGAATTTTAATATGGGCAGCTTTTGGTGCTTCACACCTTTTATTGGTCATTTTGTTTCAAGAATAAGGTACAAAATTTAAAATAAAAGAAACTTGTAAAATATTTTCTCAATTTAAAAGCAGTACAGTAGTAAAAGATAACCTTACTTACATCAGAATGTATGTTTTCTTGAACAGCTGGATATTGGACTCAGAAAAAATACCATTTGCCGTTGGCAACAAAGTATTCCACTTGCCTTAAAACCTTTTTTGATGAGTTATATGCACTGTTTATGATGGCATAGCAGTCAAAATAGGACAAATGAGATCATGTACGGGACGATTTCTGAACGACTGGCTGTGAGGGGCAGGTCTTCCGAACCACCCAAACCCCCCTGGCTGATTTGAAATACACAATGTTGTAACTGTAAGTTAAATACTTAAAGGAATAGTTCACACAAAAACAAACTCTGTCATTATTTACTCAGTCTTTACATGTTTCAAACCTTTATGAGTTTCTTGTTAACCACAAAAGAAGGCATTTTGAAGAATGCTGAAAAGCTGTAACCATTGACTTCCATAAAGGCTACTTGTTTTTCATTCTATAAAATTAAATGGTTACAGATTTCCAGCATATACTTCAAAATATTGTCTTTTGTGTTCAACAGATGAAAAAACTCATAAAGGTTTGAAAATACATGCGAGAGAGAGAGTAGCTAAATGATGTTAGTTTTAATTTTGGGTAAGCTATCCCTTTAATTTGATTTGGAATAACATAACTGTGCTATTATATTTTGCATGAAATGTCCCTAAATCGACAAGGATAACATCTTTATCCTAATTTACATCACACAATCATAATAGCATTGCGGATTCTCCACCCATTTCCCTCAGTAATTCCAGGGCGCGCGCCTCCATAGGGCGTACGTCACATTTGCGCGTTCACAGTTTCCAAATACACTCACAAATTGCGTCGCTCAGCGTAGAGTTTTACGCTTTAAAGCGCATTTTTACGTAAAAGACGTGATATTTCTACAGCCAAGTATTGGCTGTAATGTAACATCGGCAGGAGAGAGTAGAGAGCGAGAGAACTGCGCTATCCTTTACTTTCCGGTAGGAGGTAGTGATGGGAAGTCCGAGTTTCTGTGAATCGGTTCTTTCGAACAGTTCATTTCAAACGAACCAAATCAAATACGTCACCAAAAGAATCAATTCTTTTACGTCACCTCTTGGTTCCTGGCATCCCTGTGTGACATATTAAGTCAACATTACTGTTAGGACGTTTTATATCAGTCACAGTAAACATATTTTAATCTCAATTACGTTTATGTAGCAAAACATTAGTGTTCAAGTTCATTCAGTTGATCAAAATAATATTTCATAAATTATAAACTTTTTAATTTAAAAGAACAGATATTATTTGGCCATAAAAGTAGCAGCACACACAAATTTTAGTAAAATCTTTACTATTTTTCACAAATACAAAATTGATATAGAGGACATGGTGGCTCAGTGGTTAGCACTGTCACAATACAGCAAGAAGGTCACTGGTTCAAGTCCCAATAGTATCTGGATGCAGCCTTTATGACTCAGTGTCTAAAAGACACTCAATGGAGCGAATGACATCACTGTGACGGGAAGGGTTAGGGGTGGGGTTAGGCAAGCGCATTAAAAAGCATTGGATGCAGCTCAGGCACCAGGTCTGCACCACTTTCTCAAGTCCCGGCTGTGTCAGTTGGCATTTCTGTGTGGAGTTTGCATGTTGGCGTGGGTTTACTCCAGATGCTCCTGTTTCCCCAACAGTCCAAATGCGCTATAGGTGAATTAAATAAACTAAATTGGCCATAGTGTAGCCTATGTGTATGAATGAGTGTGTATGGATGTTTCCCAGCACTGGGTTGCAGCTGGAAGGGCATCCGCTGTGTAAAATATATGCTGAATAAGTTGACGGTTCATTCTGGACGGAGAAACAGATATAAAAAACACGACATGAAGATGTAATTTGATAAAAAATAACAACAATATTATTGAGTTATAACTTAAATAAACGTTATAAAGCAAAAACAACATTTTGCAGGCATAATACAGCTATTTTGTGTCAGTTAAATCAGTTGACTTTTGAAATTCAAAATTTTTACTCAACTGGTTGAGGCATCCATTACTAAAAACCCCGCAGGAATCCTGCAGGAATATCATACAGGTTTCCTACATGATTTTCAGCTCATTTTCCTGTAGGAATACCTGCAGGAATTTTATGAGGGAATTTTAAGAAGGAAATTTATGAAGGAAATTTATGCAGGGATTATTCCTGCAGGAATTACAATCCTACAGGTCTATTAAAATATACAGTTCCTGCAGGATTATTGTGTAGGATAGATATGAAGTTAGAGAAATTTCACAATGAATCAATGTATTTTCACAAATTATTTATTAAAATTGTTAAAAAAATAAAAATAAAAATTAGACCAGAATCCAATGCACAGGCTGCGTTTACTCCATTTTCCTCAAAAAAAAAAAAAAAAAAAGTAAAAAAAAGTTTCCTGTAAGTGGTAAAGTTGGTGTAGGGCAGAATAAATAACCCAATAAAGGTTAAAAATAAATGTATTGTTCATTGTTTGTTTATGTTAGTAAATACAATAACTAAATATTATCTTATACAACTTTGATGTATGAAAACAAGCATGTGAGTAGTGAAAAAGTTTAATGCTGCATTACTTTTAGATTTTTAATTGTGATTTGTAATAATTTTACACAAAAAAAGCTGGCTTCACGTTCTCACAAAACAAACCCATTACAAAGTACATTATAAACAGCATAATGATATTAAACAAAAGCCAAACAAACAAATAAATTCATTCATTCATTTTCCTTCAGGCTTAGTCTATAATTTTTCAGGGGCCACCACAGCGGAAGGATCCGACCACTATTCCGGTATATCATGTTATAAGTAGCGTTTGCCCTTCCAGCCACAACCTAGTACTGGGAAATAAATAAATAAACAAACAAATTAACAAGAGTGTATGGGTGTTTCCAAATGGTGGAATGCAGCTGGAAAGGCATCCACTTTGTAATACATATGCTGGATAAGTAGGCGGTTCATTCTGCTGTGGCGACCCCTGATTAATAAAGTGACAAAACCGAAAAGAAAATGAATGAATAAATAAATTAACAAACAAACAAATAGGGGGTTCACCGAAAAACTAATTACGTTTGTGTAAAAAACAAAGCAAAACCTCAAATCTTTACTATCAAATGACTCAAGAGCTGCTCGGATGTGTTCGCGATCGAGTCAATATTCAGACCGCTCTTTTTCAGAGTCATTTAAAACGATTCGACTCACATGAACGATTCGTTAACGAATCTCACATCGCCTAGCAGCAGCCAGAAGGCATCCAGAACAGCAGTGTTAACTCAAAAGGGAACATCTTCATCAGGGATACGGTGTTATTCACAGGATTCAAGAAAAAGCTACTGACATCCGACCGGTCCTTTGGGAAGGAAAGACGCCCGAATTGTTTGCGCTTTATCGGATCTGGATCAATATTCATGGGCTAATGCGGACATGGCAAGTCTCGGTGTCAGCTTTATCGATACACACCGGCAACATCTGAAGCATATAAAGTGAACGATAAATCATAATTGAGCAAGTTTATCCGACCTGACCAGATTTCATCAATGCGCATGCGAGAAAACAGTTCTGGATATGCTGATATGAAGTGAATGTGCCATCGAGATAATGTGATTTTGGGCTTTCCATAGACGTATTCCTGTGACTTTACCATCGGCAACTCTAAAACCGAGACTAATTTGTATCACATAGTTTGTAAAGTGTTCATAAACGGCGCATTTGTTGGTTAAAGGACGGATGTCTTCATCTACAGTCAGCTGATCACCTCAGAATTCATTGCATTAGGAGAGATATCGTGGAGTTCCTCTGTATTTGCTTTAACAGAAGAGCCAGATAAATACTTCTGTGTTTAAAGGAAGCTCTAAAGATCGTGGTTAAGGAGTAACGGGATCTCAAGAGATGTCAGGCCGGCCTAGGACCACCTCATTCGCGGAGAGCTGCAAGCCAGTGCCGCAGCCTTCAGCCTTTGGCAACATGAAAGTCAGCAGTAAGTACCCTACATCTCATATCATAACCTTCCTCAGCCAAACACCCAGCAAATGCACATGGTTGTCATTTGGATGTATATGACGGGCATCTGTCATGTAATCCATCCGCTAATGCAATGCTGTGTCCAGCTCAAGGGATGGGTCAAGGGATCCTGTCTCTTATTATCAGATCTGCTCAATGGAAATACATTTGCTGCATTGTGCACTAAGGAAGCTCCCTGCCTAGGCATCATTGCACAGCTCAGTAGTTTTATACCAGGGAGGTTGCAGTGCCCAGTCCTTTTTCATTCTACTAGCACACAATGACTGCATTTACTAGCATTTAAATCAGAATTTGTCATATAGGAGGATTGTAAACACACTAAGCTGATTTTTGGGGTTGATCTAGTTAACTAAAACTAGTGTACATGTTATTGTTTCTTAAAATAAAAGTATTTTACAAATATATGTATTTTTTGGTTAGTTGCAATGACAAATGTATAACTCTTATGCATGGCTTAACCTGACGTACCATTAATAATATTAAAATATCACTCAATAAAAACTAAAATAAAGATAAATTAAAGAAAAGCTAATATAAATGCAAAGAAAATGACCAGAATGTTCACTAAAATCAAATTAAAATGGAACATATAACAATTCACAATAATAAGGTCTCAATTGTTTACATTAGTTAAGTACGTTTGCTTTTAAATGTACTCAAATGACTTCTAAACATATTTCTGAATTTTAGTTTCTGTTGATTTAACATCAGCAAATTAAGTATTATAAAGTATTATATAATGGAACTGAGTTGACATTAACTAATAATAAGGCGCACACGAAATCTGCGCGCGCAGAATTCCGCAGATTTTCCACAGAATTTCCACAGAATTCCGCAGATTTGCAGATTTTTAGCTCATCATTAATTCTGTTAATTTACTTGTGTAAATCTATATTTATTCAGTTTTTTATATAATTACAGCAATATTATTGACCAATATGAAAATGTTCATCTGATTTATGCACAATGCAGTTTTTACAGTAATATTTTCTGTCTTTTAGTAGAGATATTATATGAGAGACTTGCTTTGTTTACCAAATAAAGTGCATCTAATTGGATTTGCAATTTAAACATTAAATAAAAGTTAAAAAGGTATTATTTTTATTTAACATATTAAGGTTTTAGTTATGAAACTTCCAAAATAATACCGCATATATTCGCAGATTTTTCCAAAATTCTCTGCAGAAATAGCAAAAAACTTCAGCAGATTCCGTCTGGCCGTGCTAATGATCAACAGTTGTGTGTTTAACAATTAACATTAACAAAGATTACGACAATTTGTGGTTCGTTAATGTTAGTTAATGAATTAACAAAGAAACATATAGTTGTAATTCATTGGCATTCATTCATTTTCCCTCGGCTTCGTTCCTTATTTATCAAGGGTCACCACTGCGGAATGAACCGCCAACTATTCTAACACCTGTTTACGCCTTTCTAGCCACAACCCAGTACTGGAAACACCCATAGCAGGGCTCGACAATAAGGACTGCCCAATGGCCTGAGGCCAGCGTGCGAGACGCTCTGGACAGTGGACCGGATCATTACTGGCCCGATCGGCCTTGTCACTGTTTGTCAATTGCGTGTAAATACAGTGCTTTTCACACCTAGACGTTTGTTTCAGAACCTGTCTCGTTTGCTCAGTTAGCTTGGTTCGTTTTGCATATGTGAGTCCCGCAATTGCGCTCGGATCTGCGCTGAAACAATCGGTCCGAGACTGCATGAATGAGGTGGTCTCAGCTCATTTTGAAACGAATTCTGGAGTGGATCGATTGTAGCGAAAAGCTAAATTATCTATCAAACCAGGCTATGTCACGGCTGTGTATTAAGGCTGTGTAATAGCCATGTATTCTCTCTCCATATAAGAGAGGATTATGAGTAAGGGGGAATGTCATTTCTGCCATCAAATGTGCGTTTCATGTCGATTACGAAAGTGAAAGCAGGCTGAAATATCACAGAGTGCTGTTTATCTGTTAGGAAAATCGACTGAAATTACTATTTGATCGTTTTTCCATATTTGAATCTTATAATAGTTTGCATGAAGCCTTTTTTATATTTAATTTCTGCACTGAAACCTCGAAAAAAAGATCAACATTGATCTGCTTCATGATCAGACTGCAGTCTCGCTTCATCTGTTGTTTCTCTCTATATTTTAAGCTTATAAAGCATAATTCTAGACACTTTTTTAATAGATTAAATAGATAAATAGATTAATTTAATAGATAATTCAATAGACAGATTTTTACAAAACTTGACAACTGAAATGAGGCTATGGGAAAGTTTTATCTCTCTGATTTATATTCGGTGAAGATGTCTATGGTTGTCAAAATGAAAGTGTATATTTTCGCTATGTATAAAAATGTATATTCGCTTCATAATGTAAGTGTAAAACATTATATATATATATATATATATGTATTTAATCACAATTGTAATTATTTAGATAGTTGTATTAAAAGAAAAGTTATGCTGTAGTTAAGTTTAACCCTTAAGACTTTATTTAAAATATGTGGCTGAAAAAAAAAAGCTATTGACTTCTGTATTAACTTCTATAAAACCTTTTTTTTTTGGTGGGGCCAGTGAAAATTTTGGCAGGGAAAGTAAAAATCGGAACCACTGGCCCGATCAGGCCAGTAGAAAAAACCCTAATCGTTGAGCCCTGCATACACTCTCAAATTTGCACACACTCATACACTACGGCTAATAAATTTACTCAGTTCACCTATAGCGCATGTGTTTGGACTGTGGGGGAAACCGGAGAACCCAGAGGAAACCTACGTGAACACAGGGAGAACATGCAAACTCCACACAGAAATGCCAACTGGCCCAGCCGGGACTCGAACCTTGCTGTGAGGTGACAGTGCTAGCCATGAAGCATAAAATTGTTGCATAAAAAGTTATTATAATAACTTTAATAATCTCAATGATACTAAAATAACAATGACATGATAACCAAAACCAGATTAAACTAATACTCCAAGTAACACAAGTCTGTGTTTCCATTTTACAAACTAATATTCACCTCAATAATCACAACATAATGAGGTTTTTGAGATTTATTAAAATATTACATATCGTTAAAACACATTAATATGATGTGCACATGACCATATTCTCATATTAATCGTAATATTTCATTGTAGGACTGATTTTAGTCCTCTCAGCTGGTTGGAGTCATTTTTAACATGAAAGATGTTCCTTGTTGATCTCTGTTTTAGTGTCTTTAGATCTTTGAATTGGTATTGAATTATAATGACGTATTAGTACCACATACTTATAGTTGAAGACAAAATTATTAGCCCTCCTGTATATTTATTTCCCCAATCTCTGTATAACGTGAAGATGATTTTTTCAAGATATCTCTAAACATATTTGTTTTAATATCTAATTTCTATTAACTAATTTATTTTATCTCTGCCATGATATTTCACTAGATATTTTTAAATATGCTAATATTCAGCTTAAAGTGACATTTAAAGGCTTAACTAATTAGGTTAACTAGGCAGGTTAGGGTAATTTGGCAAGTCATTTTATATCAATGGTTTGTTCTGTAGACCAGTGGTTCTCAACTGCTTTGGTCATGGGTCCCACATTTGTACATGGTCATCAACCCAAATTTTTAGGAACTAGAATATAAATTTAGGAATTAAAATTAATTTGTATTTGTTTATTAACAAATTTCCTTATCTCTGTCATTTAACAAAATGTATCAAATATAGTAATATTACAGAGTAAAAACATAAAATACTGCAAACAGTGGTTAGGGTAAGGAAAAGTTCAGTTAACATTACCTAAACTGAACTGTTAATAAAACGTTAACACTGATTCTGTTGAACTGAGCAAACCAGCAAATTAAGGTAAAATGATTAAAATAATCATAACCATTTTTATAATAATCACCAGCTATTTGCTCTTCTGCTATTGTGTGGGTTTTCTTGTCCTTTGCTACTCGGTGAGCACAGTAAGATGCGCGGAGTGCTTGTACTTGAACATGAGGATGTTAGGCACGATGCCCTCAGCTATTGGAGTCATCTTTGAAAATAGTCCACAGGTTTGTCCTTGCAACTGGGATGCCATATGAGCTCCTCACTAAATATGACACACTGAGGTTTTAAGCCTTTTTTGTCGTCAATATATGTAAATCCACACTTTTCATATTCGGGGTTGTACTTGCACTTCGACATATTTACTGCTATAATTAAATTAAATTTTGGATGTTGCACGTGGATTTCAAAATAAAAGTCCAATATATGCTAAATAGGTAAAAAAAAGTACTTTTGTTGTTTTTTTTACCACACACTCGACACACCAGTTGAGAAACTCTGCTGTAGACTATAGAAAAAATATTGCTCAAGGGGACTAATAATATTGTCCTTAAAATGGTTATAAAAAATAAAAACTGCTTTTATTCTAGACATAATAAAACAAATAAGACTTTCACCAGAAGAAAAAACATTATCAGACATACTGTGAAAATTTCCTTGCTCTGTTAAACATCATTTGGAAAATATATATTAAAAAAAGAGCTATTAGTTGACTTCAGCGGTATGTCTCATCTGGGTGATGTTTGCATATCTGCATGAGCTGTCAATAAAAAATGTCCACCGCCCTTCTTTGAACCCGTGCCCCATGGTTTGATTGACAGACCTCTCTCCTGAGCCTTGGCCCAGCTGGATCACTCATTTCCTGCACTAATGATGTGCATCTCACCACTGGGCACCTCAGGAAAGGAGGATCAGAGAGATGTGTGTGACTCACCTATGACTCTATACCTCTTTTCCAAATGTCTCCGACAGTAGTCATATGTAGTGTCACAGTCTACTTAACAATAGGGGAGGTACACGTGGATCAGCTCTTAAACTAACACCTGTTTATTTATTTTTTGGGAAAAGGTTCGATTTACAACTTCACTACAGTTAAACAGTTGAGTTTTACTACTTTTGAATCCATTTAAGCGGT